GCTGGACATACATCAAGCGCAAATACAAACCATGTAAAAAACTACTGCATCACATTATGCTGCATTAGATATACTAAATCACATACACTGTATCAAAGTATACTACTCGTGATTTGCGAGTAGTCCCATTTTCTGTCATATTTTTGTTACGATTTGACTCTGATGTCTTCCCGGAGCATGTAATTGACGTAATTTTTAAATTTTTCTTTGTATTCATTTATTCCCTATCATCTTGTTACCAACAGGGAGTTCAAAGAGTTTAAAAAACTCTTGCAGTGAAAATGGAGGCAGAGTTCAACGGGCCTCCATTTTCAAAAAGCATGCAAGAGAAAAAAACTACTTAGGAAGATAAGACAGAGTAGGAGAGTAGAAATAGGTGTAGGAAGTCTGATGATGGTTAGTAGCCAGGAGGAGTGGCAAGATAAGATGAAAAAAAATGAAAATGAGGGCAGACTGACCGCGAAAAAGGCGTCACTGAAAATGAAATCGTGCGCAGAGGACTGCTCGGAAAAGTCCTGTTCTACCCAGGGCAGTAGGAGATAGGGCTTCCGATCGGCATCCGTAACGTGTGCAACTTTGTCCACGGTCACAGAGTCTGAACGGGAAAAAAGGATAGGTAAGAGTTGGAGGGACATGGGAGACAAGTTTATACTGTACTCCCGACATAATAACTAGCTAAAAGCCTACACATGTGTGTAATATTAACAATGCTAGAGGGGGCGTACACCGATTGCGTTACGGGACACACTTGTTTCGTTATGTCTTGGGGCTCACACGACGGCTATTAGCATAGATAGAATAGCAGAACCAGAGAAGGAACCTAGTGTCCACTTAGACTGATCAGCCGTCAACAGCCAGCTAGGCATTGCAACCTCCGACGCTCGAAACCGCGACCAGTTGGTTAGAAGTCTAACGCTCTAACGCACTGAGCCACGGGTTCATCGGTTGCGAGTGGGCGGGGGGTGCTCACCGATCTTCGTCCCGTTGGACGTCAAACCAACACATCGCGGGTTCGAGTCTCAGGGCTTGCCAAACCTGGGCAGGCTCAAGAAGCCAATGGGATAGTGTGCGCCCATTGTGTTGTCGGTTGCGACCAATGGTAAAGGGGTGCACACCGATCCCATTCTGCAAAGTACTCGTATCGTGGGACTTCTAAACAACACATCGCGG